AGAAAGAGGTTGGAAGGTGTGGGATCGTCCAGATGAGATTTTTTTTCCCTCGACTCGGATTAGACTGAAAAATGTTGCTTGGGATTCTTTGCCCTAAACAGTTACCATTCATGTACCAGATATGGTTACACTTATTGTTCCAAGATAGTGATAAAAGAAGGAGCTAAAGCCCAGCACCAGCAATCCTGTAGGATTAATCCTAGCTAAGAACCGGACTGTAGTTCAAGATCAGCCTAAGCAGAAAAACTTATGACATCCCCATCTTAATGCATAGGTGGACACAGTGGCATGAATCTAACATCCTAGCTTCCTTTGGCAGGAAAGTCCATGATACTTTTTTTTTTTCTTTTTAGTCATAGGGCTTGAACTCTGGGCCTGGGTACTACTGTCCCTCAGCTCTTCAGCTCAAGGCAAGTGCTCTACCACTTGAGCCACAGGCATGTCTGGTTTTCTGGTGGTTCATTGGAGATGAGAATCTCAGATTTTCCTACCTGGGCTGGCTTTGAACCATGATCCTCAGATCTCAGCCTCCTGAGTAGCTAAGATTACAAGGTGAAACCACCAGCACCTGGTTTTCCATGACACTCTTATCTCCAATGAACTACTCAGAAGAAGCTGGAAGTAGTCCTGTGGCTCAAGTGGTAGAGTGCTAGCCTGGAGCAAAAAGAAGCTCATGGACAGAAACCAGGCCCAGAGTTCAAGCCTCAGGACTGGCAAAAAAAAAAGTATATATACATATTTAAATATATATATATAGAGAGAGAGGGAGAGAGAGAGGCTAGAAGACCTGAATCATTTTTTCCTGCTGAGGAGCTTATAGGAAATGTATCACAAAATCTGGGATCAATTTCTTAATTTTCAGAAGGATCTGAATCCCCAATAATTTAGAAGATAGCTAGAACTACAGCTTTTCCAGAAGTAAAATTAGAATATAGGTCTTCTGACTCCAGAATCAGTGCTCTGCTCATGGACATCATAAAAGTTTCATGGTTCTGCTTCTCTAATTAAAAGAGAGGAGTGGACAACTTGGGTCAGAAGAATGAAATGCCTTTTGTAGATTTTTGGAGATTCTGAACCCCAAGGCTAGAGGGTTATTACAATGACCTTTTCATTTCTTTTCTTGTTTGTGTTTTTTGAGACAAGGTACAGGTTATGTGTCCAGGCTGGCCTCAAATTTTCAATCCTGCCTCAGCATCTTGAGTGCTAGGATTATGGGCATAAGCCACTCTGACTAGTTTAGGCTTACTGTGACCATTTCCTGACCATATTCAGGACAGAAGTTTGTCTCAACCAGGAAAAGCCCCAAATGTTAATATAATTGCTGGTTATTACTGCTGTTAAGGAGCAAAACATTTATTTGTAAATAAAGCCAAGGAGAGAAGCAATGGGAAATGTGTCTTAAAAAAAATACATCAGGTGAGTGGGTCCCCATCTCCTTTGCTGGCACTCTAGTTTGTAGGAATTTCTAAACCTTGCTGTAATTTACCTTACATTTGCCAGGGGATTTATCATATAGACCTTTCTGACATACTGTCCTTTACAGGCTTGAAAACCTTCACCAGCTCTCCATTATCTACCATTTAAGCATTTGTTTATCTTGATATTCAAGGCCTTGCAAAATGGACTTCTCACTCTATTTCTCTCTATTCTCCTTCCCTCTATTCTTCTTCCCCTCCTCCTGCTCTTCCTCCTCCTTCTGTTCCTCCTCCTCCTTCCTCTTCTTCTTCTTCTTCTTTTTTTTGCCAGTCCTGGGACTTGAATTCAAGGCCTGGGCATTGTCTTTGAGCTTCTTTTGCTCAAGGCTAGTACCTACCACTTGAGCCACAGCGCCATTTCCAGCTTTTATTTTGTTTATATGGTATTGAGGAATTGAACCCAGGGCTTCATGCATGCTAGGCAAGCACTCTACCACTAAGCCACATTCCCAGCTCTTCCCTTTATTCTTCTTTGCTCAATCTATAAGCTCTCCTTCCATTTCTTTCAAAATTTTTTCTGACCTTGGGTTATTAGACATTTTCTTGCTCTTTCCTCTTTCTCTTTTATTTACTTATTTTCTCAAGGTCCAGACTTGTTCAGAAGGTAAGCATTTCACTTGTGCCAATTAGTTAGCATTTATCATACTCTTCCTTAGTCTTGCAGATTCTTTCTTTCTTTTTTTTCTTTTTTTTTTGGGGGGGGGGAGGAGTCCAGTCATGGGGCCAAACTCTGGGCCTGGGCGCTGTCCCTCAGCTCTTCAGCTCTTCAGCTCAAGGCTAGCGCTCTACCACTTGAGCCACAGAATCACTTCTGGCTTTTTTTTCTGCTTATGTGGTGCTAAGGAATCAAATCCAGGGCCTCAGGCATGCAACGCAAGCACTCTACCACTGACCACCATCCCAGCCCTTGCATATTATTTCAACAACTCCAAACCTTGATTACAAAATTTCCAGCCTCAAAGACAGAATTATACTTCTCTTTGGCAGGTTCAGCAATCTAGTGACTAAAGTTATCTAACTCAACTCCTTCACATACCTGCTCGCTCCTTCTTTCCTTCCTTCCTTCCTTCCTTCTTTCCTCCCTCCCTCTCTCCCTCCCTCCCCTTCTCTCTCTTCTTTCTTTTTTGTCATGGGGCTTGAACTCTGAGCCTGGGTGTTATCCCTCAGCTCTTCGGCTCAAGGCTAGAGCTCTACCACTTGAGTTACAGTACCACTTCCTGTTTTCTGGTAGTTAATTGGAGATAGTCTCATGGAAGGCTGGGAAGGTGGCTCAGGGGTAGAGTGCTTGCCTTGCATGCATGAGGCCCTGGGTTCAATTCCTCAGAACCACATAAGTAGAAAAACCCAGAAGTGGTGCTGTTGCTCAAAGTGTTGGAGCACTACCCTTGAGCTAAAGAGCTGAGGTATAGCGCCCAGGCCCAGAGTTCAGGTTCCACAACCTACAAAAACAAAACAAAAAACCAAAACAAAAAGAGTCTCATGGACTTTCCTGCCCAGGTTGGCTTCGAACCGTGATCTCAGCCTCCTGAGTAGCTAGGATTACAGGCATGAGCCGCCAGCGCCTGGCCTGTTCTTCTTTTGCTATGTTTACAAATTGGACACATTTTCCAAAATGGAAACTTTTTTTCTTGACAGTCCTGGAACTTGAACACAGGGCCTGGGTGCTATCACTGAACTTCTTTGTGCTCAAGGCTAGAGCTCTACAACTTGATCCACAAAGCCACTTCTGGCTTTTTTTTTTTTTGGAGTAGTTTATTGGAGACAAGAGTCTCACACATTTTCCTGCCTGGGCTGGCTTTGAACTGCAATCCTCAGATCTTAGCCTCCTCAATAGCTAGGATTACAGGCTTGAGCCACCTTCACTCCGATTGGAAACATGTGTTGACATGATGTTAACTTCGTCTGTAGGGCCTGATGACCACGTCCTTCTGAGACAGAGTGCTTCCTCAAAAAACAGATCAAGACAGTGACTCAGGTGCTCTTGTATTTTCCTTATAGCTTGCCATTGGGAGGGCAGGGTAACTACCCTACTTTGATTTACTACAAATACAATAAGTAGTTACGGGGTTACCTAGGAGAATTTAGTCACTTTCACTTTTCCAATATCTGGATCTATTCAACAATCCTGTAATTAAAAAGAAAAAAAAATCTCTGTATAAAACTACCCCAGTGGTCTAGGGATAAACAGACCATTTCTTATCTCTACACTCACCACACCTTTTCTTGTGGTTCCTCCCTAGGCCCTGAGCCGGTTGGTTGGCTCTATTCCTGGTAGACAACTTCCTTTGGAATGTGGAGACTTTGCAACCGAGTTTATAACAGGTAGGTGGACTTTCCCCTCCTGGGCCCACACCCAGCTTCTGAAGGCTGAAGAGGGGAGAGGGGGAGGAGGAGGAGGAAATGAGTTCCAACGCACCCAACAGCTGGCTGCACTGAAGATTTCTTGCAACAAATATTTATTGAACAAATTAATGAGAGAAATATTTAGAGCCCCAGCAAAGCAAGCCAAGTCAATCACTTTTTAATTTTTTTCAACAGTGTACACTAGAAGCCACCTGTCATGTTTAACTGCAGCTGGTGTGACCCTAGTGCCCCCAGATTCTGCTCTTTTCTGGGAACTGGGATCGGTATCTTCTTGAAAGGCTTTTCAGGACAGGTAGATTTATGTTCCCGGGTTGCGTTCCCTTCCACTTAGAATCAAAGTCATCCCAATGCCTGTAAATTTATATTCTCAGTTCCTATCGTTCATTCAACTAATGTGAAGCGCCTAATATATTCTGGACCCCGTTGTCGGCATTTAGGACGAAGCAAACAAGATCCTCGCCCTGGAGGAGTGTATCATAGGATGGGAGACAAATGATGAAAGTGTAAAAAATCCCAGAACACTGAAGTTGGCTGATGAATATCACCAAAGGAAGAGATGACAGGCTGGGAAATGTGGAGGCCAGGGGATGGGAGAACAGAACCAAGACTGGGGATCCGGTTTGGTTTTGGGGGGGGGGTTGGAAGTGGGTACGAGCTGAGCTGCAGGAGGCGTTGATGTCGGCGGTGGGACAACCGGGATGTTTTCTGCAGAAAACATCTGGCTTATGCGGAGGAAGATGAAGGGCAGCCAGGGCTCCGAACGGGGATTCGGGCTGCGAAACCCGCGGTGGGAGGCTCGCGCACCGCACAGCCGAGGTGATGCTCTAACTGCAGTGGTACCGAGGCTCCATTTAGGGGGGCGGGGTGCCCACAGACTGTCAGCCACTACGCCCCCAAAATGGCCTCCGATGCCCCTCACCGCCCCGCCCCAGCACTTTGCAGCCTGCCGGCCCACGTGACCCGGCCGCCTCTCCCGCCCACCCGGCTCGAGACCCCAGGTCTGGGTCCCCTCCGCGGCGGAGGCCCCGCCCCCCAGGGAAATAGACCAATCGGAGGAGGAGGAAGGCGGAGACAGGTGCTGACGTCAAATGGAGGCGGGGCTCCGGAGGGGAGTAACAGGTTGGTGGGAGGGGGAGAAGGGAGGGAGCACCGAGGGACCGAGGGGGAGGGCCCGGGAGCCGCGCGTGCAGCTCTGCCAGAGCCCGAGCCCGGAGCCGCGAGCCCGGGAGCGCTGAGCCCGGCTGGGGTGAGTGACTGGACTGAGGCAAGGGCACTTGAGATGACCGTGGAACCCCAGGTGGATCTGTGAGGGGCAGGGGTGGAGGCGATCAGAGATAACCCCTACTTGGGCACCGGTGCAGATGTGGAGAGGGGAAGAGGGAAGGTCAGGGTTTGGTGGCAGAACTACGAGCTTGGTCCCTACTCTTAAGATGCCCGAAGCAGGTGGCTGAGGAGGAGCCAGGCGTGAGGCATCTGAAGGTAAGACTATTCTCAGGGCATGAAGGCGTCTCAGCGCCAGGGTATCTCTGGAGGTCAGACGCCAGCCCTAGGGGCGGAATTTCTCCTGGAGACCGGAGTGGTGGGGGAAAGGAGTTGGTCTCAGCTGGGCAAAGGGAGGTTCCGAGGAACAGTGGATGGCATCGGCAGGTGCTGTTTTCCTAAGGTGCCTTCCCCTGGCTGGCCACTGACACCTCCTTTCTGGCGTGGGCTCTTTCTCCGCTCTGACTATGCGTCTACAGGTGCAGTCAGATGAGAAACACGAGTGAAGGGCAGAAGAGGGCAAGCCTATGGCTTTGCTAGGTGTGAAACTACTAGGATTTTCTGTTTCTGTCTTTGTTTTCATGGCAGGGAGAAATTTTCCAGAGTCGGGGTGGGGGTGGGGAGGGTGGGTGAGGCTGGGGAGGGGAGCTTTAAGAGTAAGGGGTGTAGAGAGAGGAAAAAAAATACAGCTGTGGGAATATTTATTTCTCCTAGTCGTCTTTCCAGGGCCTAATACCAAACCCTTCTTTGGTTCTAGACGGGAGCCAATGGGGTGTAAGCTTTGGGAGCCCAATCAATTATGTCTCCCAGGATCTCTTCACTTGGAGAAACTTCATTAGGCATCTTTCACTCTTGATCCTTGCTGGCTTTTAGATTGGCAATAGGCTACACTGGTACAGGAAATAGGCAGAACTCCCAAGGAGACCACAAGACTAGGGGAATTACCACCTCCCAATCCCCAGGCCAGATGAGAGGTGTGCATTGGGGCCAGACAAGATTTCTGAGGCAAATTTCCTTGCCTTAGGCAGCTATGGAACCAGCGCCAACCTGAGTTTGGCCCCTTTGATGCCCTGCCTGAGTATAGTTGCTGTAATTGGGAAATAATTAGCAACCGCTATGTCTGTAGACATGCTGCCTACGCATACCGGGGTACCTCTTCTTTCATCCTGAATATTTAAGGGTAGGGGTCTGGCTTTGGGGGCCTGATAATCCAGAGATTTGCTGCCTGACTCTAAGAGGATTTTGGCTTCCTGTGGTTCCCAGGCTGCTGCAGGCTATTACTCTTGTGGGAGGGGAGGTAGAGGTGGGGGGGGGGTTCTCTTTGTACCAGGGAGGGGAAAACTAAGGGCCTGGGAGGTGGCCAAGGTAAGTGGGATTAGGAATGTAACTTTGGAAACTTGGGAGGGCGTGGTGAAGGTAGACAAAGTCATCCTGTCACCCATTGGCCTGTCACTCACCCGAGTTCTTTGTTCATCTGCTGCTCTTGTTTCTTCCCTGCCCAACCTTCTGCCTCCTTCAGAGCCTTGGTTTTGGCATCCAGGCTGGATAGTGCCCCTACTCATGGTCTTGCCCCTCTGCCTGCTCTGGCGTGGAATCTCTGGTCTTCTTTACAAGCTGCCAGTGTAGTCTCCCTGGCCCTCCCTTTCCCTCTCAAACCAGTCTAGCCAGTTTGCAGAGGTTCTGTTCTTCATTGTGTTCTGCCCCCCCCCACCCCCCCACTGGCCAAGCAGCTCCAGCTTGGCTCTCAGGTTTCTGCTTTTTCTGTGGACCTAGCCAGGAGTTCACTTGGGGGGTCTATTTGGACCTACAAGGAATCATCTTATCTCCCTATGAAAAAGGGAGCCAGCCAAGTGACCAAGGTCACTGAGCTGTCCTTTTCGGTCTTCGCTGTTTGCTTTTCTCATTTCCACCAAGGGGGATCTAATCTCTATTCCCTTAGTTCTCTCCTTTTTTTCTTCTTCTAAATGTGCCTGTTATTTAGCACCTAGCATATTGCCTGGCTCTGAGTGCCCTTCTGAATCCACCCCACCCCCACTTCCTGCCAGAAGTCCAGGGGCCCTGTCACTCCTAGTTGGAAGCCAGATGCATATGGCTGGGCCAGAGGTGATGGAATTGGGGCAAGGCAGGCTAATGAATAACTCAGGGAGAAGTCAGTGGATGTCTGGTACAGGTGTAGTGTGCCCTTCCCTTCCCCACAAGCAGGAATGGCAGAGATAAAACAGATGCTTAATTCACTTGTGTCCTGGTCTCTTCTCAGAGTACATTTGGTCAAAAGAGCCCTGGGCATGTAACCAGGAGAGGGAAAAGCAGGGTCAGGCAGGCTTTAGACTCCTAGTTGTGGACCCAGATTGTTGTTTACCTGCCTTTGGGGCTTACGCAAGGCCTTGAGCTGCCCTGTTCCTTTGGCCCCGCCCCACTGTCCTCTGTAACTGAAGGCGGGTAGGTTTCGGGTTTTCCATGTTGAATCATTTAGAACCTTGCTTTCTGACCCACCCCAAAGATCCCTCAGTCCTTCTGGCCTCTGACACCTATGTCTTGGTAATTGAAGGTGATTGAGATTGGGATGTCATTGGGACTTGAGGGAGCATTCAATACCATATCTGTGTAACTTAGAACACTCACTCAAGGAGCTGTACACCTTGCTGGGCCAAGGCAGGAACTATTTGACCTGAATCTGGAAGATCTGTAGAGATACTGACAGGGCAGAACTGTGTCATGAATAAATCATGTGACTTCTGAGGGCTGGCAGTCTAGGCACATCTGATTCTAAGATCACAACTGCGTAGGGCAATCCAGACCAGGATGACAGACTAGTTACTAGGATAAAAGAGAAATATTGTGAACGATCTGTGACAATCTTCCTGCCCTTGCTGCTGGAGATGCCTTTGTTCCTGATACAATCTTCATTAAGGACTTATTCACATCTTCCATGTGCCAGGCACTGGAGTTAGCTGAGACCTATAGTTTTTGTCATCTATGAGTTTATAATTTAGTGGGGAAGATGGATAATAATCACTCCAATAAATGCATAATGACAAAATGAGGTAAACCCATCAAAGGGTAACTAAAAAGCATAGGTAGATCTGACCTATTGAGTAGAAGGGCCTGGTCAGGAAGGCTTCTCAGAGGAAGTGCTATCTAAAGGAAGGGCTTGTGTTAGTGGTGACACTTGTGAGATTTTGTGACGGGAGTATGTATGCATGTATTTTATTTTATTTTATTTTTTGACAGTCCTGAGACTTGAACTCAGGGCCTGGGCACTGTCCCTGAGCTACTTTTGCTCAAGGCTAGCGCTCTACCTCTTGAGCCACAGTGTCATTTCCAGCTTTTTCTGCTTATGTGGTATGAGGAATCCCAACCCAGGGATTCATACTTACTAGGCAAACACTCTACCACTAAGCCACATTCCCAGCCCTGTATTTGTTTTTGTGCCAGTACTGGTACTTAAATTCAGGGCTCACATTCTCATTTGGCTTTTTTGCTCAAGGCTGCCACTTTAGTCATACCTCTACTTCCTGCTTTTTGGTGGTTTCTTGGAGAATAGAATCTCACAGACGTCTGCCTGCTCTGGTTTTGAACTGTGTTCCTCAGATCTCAACCTTCTGAGTAGTTAGAATTACAGATGTGAGTTACTAGCACACGGCATGTGACAGGGATTTTATGTTTAATATCTTTTCTCCACTGTTGGTTGAAGTCAAACCTAAGTACAATAAGGTTATTATAAAATAAATATATTCTAAAACTATAGTTTGGTAACTTCTTGTATACATAGTGTAATTATCTAATTCTCACAGGTAATTACCTTGTGAGTTAGTAGTATATCCATTTTACTGATGAGGAAACTGATGCTCAGAAGAATTGTACTTTGCTCAGGTTATATATATCAAGTAAAGAACAGATTAGAATTTTCTGAGTCAGATCCTAATTTCTTTTTTTACTCATGATTTCTGGAATGAATTTACTTCTTGTTGTCACAAACTTTTTTTTTTTTTTGGTCGTGGAGCTTGAACTCTGGGCCTGGGCGCTGTCCCTGAGCTCTTCAGCTCAAGACTAGCACTCTACTACTTGAGCCACAGTGCCATTTCTGGTTTCCTGATTGTTAATTGGAGATAAGAGACTCATGGACATTTCTTCCTGGGCTGGCTTTGAACTATGATCCTCAGATCTCAGCCTCCTGAATAGCAAGGATTACAGGTGTGAGCCACTGGCACCTGGCTTTATTGTCACAACTTTGTAAGATTTGGTAGTAAAATTTTGGCTCCAGGGCGCAAAAGGTGAACCCGCAGCTCCTAATAAAGAAGGGGAAGGGGGAGGTTCCTTTCTCCTGAGGGAAGAGCAGGAATGCTAAGGATGCTGTTCCTCAACCTCCATTTCTCAGCTGGAACCCTTTCTTACCATTCTAAATTCTGCCTTTCCTATTCCCTCCCCTCCCCAATCAGCTCACCTTGGTTACCTGGCTTCTGAGAGCTTCTATAATCCGGAGAAAAGGGACCTTGCCAAGTTTCCTTGGCCCACAACTCCACAGGGAAGTTGAGTTGGGCATGTTTGCTTTCCTGTTTGGCATGCTAGAGACTCCTCCTCTAGTTTGATGCTGGGCTCTGATGGAGACTTAACACACTAGCTGAAGGGGTGGGGGAAGTTCCTAGAGCCAGGGCATACCTGAAACACATTCCATTTGCTGACTCTAAGCCTAGGTAATGTGGACTAGTGAGTCAGCCTGTGGATATTTTATTTTTCATTTTATTTTATTTTATTTTTTTGTGTGAACATACTGTACAGAGGAGTTACAATTACATGGGCAGGATAATGCGTACATTTCTTATCAAGCATTGCAGCCTCCTCCTTTGTTTACCCTTCACATCCCTTCCCAGCCTCCCCCAGCCTGTGGATATTTTTTGTCCTGGCCCCCAGGTGGGAAGGCCCTATGTTTTCTGGGGCCCCTTGGATAGATGCATTTAAAATCGTATTTAAGTTCTTCTCCCTCTCTCCCCCCTCCCTCTATTTCTTGCTGTCTGCAGCACTAGAGATAAAACTTTGGGTCTTTCACATGCTGGGCAAGTGCTGACCACTTGAGCTACATCCCTAGCCCTAAATCTTTCTTTGAATAGGTAATACATGTACTTGATTCCAAATTAAAAAGACACAGAAGGAGGGTGTAACAATGTTCAATAGGAAATGTACTCATTACCTTACTCATATAACTGTAACCCTTCTGTACAGTATCTTAAAAAATATATGTTAGGGCTGGGAAAGTGGCTCAGAGGTAGAGTGCTTGACTTGCATGCATGAGGCCCTGGATTTGATTCCTCAGCACCACATAATCAAAAAGAAAAAAGCCAGAAGTGGCGCTGTGGCTCAAGTGGTAGAGCGCTAGCCTTGAGCTGAAGAGCTGAG